TTTTTTTTTTTTTTTGTTTTTTTTTTGTTTTTTTTTTTTTATATTATTATTGTTTCATTGTTGGCCCTTTTTTTTTCTTAGATTCCTGAAAGAGATAGTTCTGGGAACTTGATACCAATATGGAAGCGTCAAATGTTAGCAAGAAAAGCTGCAGAACGAGCCAAAAAAGAATTGGAGGAACAAATAGCACGTGAAAATGAGGAAAAAAGACAAAAAGCTATTCCGCCATGGAAAAGACAGCTTTTAGCTAAAAAAGATTTCAGTGATGATAAAAAGTAAGTTTTTTATTAAAAAAATGTTTAAATGTTTAAGATAATTTTGTAATTTTTATTATTATACTCAATATTAGAATAGCGAGCTCAATTAAAATAATTATTCTCATGTAACAATATTGTTAGTTTTTTGAAAAAAAAAAATTGTTATTATTTCTAGACCAAATCTAATTAATCCAGTACCAGGGATTGTAGCACCACCGCCAGTTAAAATTGATGTTATTCCACCACAAAAAAAGGAGATAACCATCCCAATAAACCGTGTAGAAAAAGTAACTGAGACTGAGGAAAAAAAGATAGTTACAAAACAAGATGATTCAGACGATGATGCTCCTATAATTCCATGGAGAGCGCAATTGAGAAAGACAAATAGTAAATTAAATATTCTCGACTGATTAACAATTGACGATAAAATACGTCTAATTATTATTATTATTATTATTATTATTATTATTATTATCTCTGGATGTGTTCGTTCATCAACAAACTATATAAAATAGAAATAAAACTCGAACGGAAAATGCTGCTCAAAACAAAATAAACTTGAGATAAATTGTTGTTTATATTAAGCTAAACGTGTAAATAAATGTGTCACATGTTTTTATATTATATAAATTATAAATATTATTGTTTTCACGGTAAAATATTTTTTCGCGTAATTTTATTAAGCAATTATTCCATTTATATTTGAATTTGATTTCATGAAAAGTATATTTGCCAATAAATTTTTTTCAACGTTTCAATTGATTGATCGCGTGATATAATATTTAAATATATATTACAGAGATTTTATATATATATATATATATATATATATATATATATATATATATATATATATATAAATACTATTATACTCATAATGTAAAATGATCCGTCAATGTACATAAATTTTTGTTTAAATGTTTATATACTTTTAACCTTCACCCTCAATAAGTTATTAATAGTTTAAGAATCTTACATAAATAAAACATTATTCTAGTTTTAATAATAAGATTACTAAGTAAACATGATCTATTAAATTTCTGTCGTATTCAATAGTTTTCAACAAAAAAATTATCACATATGTATTCACATAATAAAACATAATTGTTTAATTATCTTTTTACCTAACACTAAACTATTTTTTATCATTAAAAAATATGATAATTTGAAATAATAAATTTTTATAAATAAAAAGGAAAATTTCTAAGAAAATTTATTGAAATAATTGTAATTAATTATTTTTCTGAAAAGGCTTGGCTGTATAATTTTTACATGGATAATTATGTCATAAAAAACTTTTAAAATATCATTTCACATGCATATATATTATTAGTTATACACAATAAAATAATAGATTACGTACATCAGATCAATTAAATAAAATCATACATAATCAAGTGTAATTGTATGTAATTCATCAAGTAATTATTTTGCGTATTGCAAATATTTCTAAATTAAAGAAAAAAATATATCTAAATTAACTTTAATTCGAATTCTAAGACTCGTTCACTCTAATTACCATTAGAAAGTTAAATTAACTTATAGGTCAGCGCAGAATTTATTTCTAGTTGTTAAATTATATTATTTGTATTAAAAAAAAAGGTCTTTCTTAAATAAAATTCTAAAAAATAATTATGTATTAATATACATTAGTGTCCGTTCATCAGATTATAATTTATGATTAATGTGTTTAACGTTTTAATTATTGCTATCTTTATTAAATTGAATTATATATATAAATAAAAAAAAAAAAAAAAAAAATAATTTTTTTTTTTGTAATATACATTTAAGTAGTGTGTAAAATAATCACATCAGAGTCTTCTCTTCTCTTCTCTCAATATAATACAACACTGGCTGTTGTACGCCGACGTTTCTCCTTATATATTTATATGTATATATATAAACATATACCTCTCTTAGTTACTTGATATATAAGAACTTGGGCTCAGTACAAAACACGCTAGCAGCCGGCTCACAGTTTATTTAGTAGTTGACTCTCGTACTGTTAATATAATACTTGTGCAAAAGTTGGCACATTTATTATATCCTATTCGCGTGCTTGTGCTATTGCAGATGATTTCGAGAGCATTATCACCAGATAGAACTCGGCTATTTTCATTTTATTAATTTTAGTAGAAAAATTTTTTATTCTTATTTCCTTTCCGTCTTTTTATCTTCTTCAAGTTATTCGGAATTTTTTTTTTAGTGGTAGTTTTTGTTAAATTAATATTTTTTAAGTATTAGAAAAAGTGTTTGTTAAAAAAATTTATTTTGTGTAATTTTATTTATTTTTATAATTTAAGTTTTATTCGAAATGGCATCACTTCGTAGTATAACAGGTAAGAAATTTTCTTTTTACCAATAAACTTTTTTTTTAATTGTTACTCTGTTAGTGTCTATAGATAATTTAATGATTAGCAAAAAATTAACCCGTATATACATATATAGTTCGTTGACACAGAACAGTGGTAACTTCAAAGTCATCAGTGATCGCAATTCCGTGTTTAGTAATTTGAATTCTTGTAAGAATTTTGCATTAACCATTTAAAAAAAAAAAAAAAAATTCTCCTAGCACTTTAGCTTTTGTGTTTTATGTTTACACTTATTAGTCTTCTTTGCAAATATTAACTAATATTTCAACAAAATACCGATAATATTATAATTCGTTTGAAGGTCGACTATTGTTAATTATCAAAATATCTTCGAAGAAGACTGAATTGTGAATAGTGAACATTAAACATTAACAAAATTATTTAATAACCATTCTTTGTTCTTATTAAATAATTGATCCGTATCTGACAACAACAATAATAATTGTTCCAAGTGACTTTGCGGGACAATTGCGTTTGAAATTGTCAAGATAAAAATGCCCGGGTAATTATTCTGATTAAAAGCTATTACACTATCATTAAAAAGCAATCATCAATTTTGTCTTTATCTTCAGCAAAAAATACTCTTCTATCTTTAAATATTTCTGTTAGAGTTTTACGGAGAACTATTTTAGGAATTTTTTGTCATTCTAATAATCGGTTGGTTATTTTAAGCGCTTGAACAAAATATAGCGTTTTATAAATATTCTAAATATTTTACCTAAGGTAATTATTATCCAATGTATTTTTCTTATATCATTAATGATTTCTGACTCGATATTAACTTATTTTTTGTTGTAACAACTTTTTTTAGTTTTAGAGGGGGAAAAAAATGTACACATGTATAATTGCCATTGAATGGGCAATTATAATTATCGTCACGACAATACTAAACGATAATTTTGTTTCTTTTATACTATTCGTTCTATAAGATGTTTTTTTTTTTTTAATAGTAAATATATAAATTTAATCATAAAGTTTAAGAATTTTTTCAGATATTAATCTCTATGATTATTTAATTTTCATATTAATTAAATAAGAACATTTTTTTACAAATATTACATCTAATTTTTACTAATTATAAATCAATATAAATACAAAATTGCAAATTATTCATTGTATAGCAAGTTAAATAAATTTAAAATATTTTTATGGGTTATTAAAAAAACATGGTGACCATGAAAATAAACAATAATTAAATTTATTGCTTGCAAAAAAATTCTTAAAGAAATATGTTATAAAATTTATATCGGAATGATTCAATTCATTGTTAAAGGCATATTAAATAACAATAATAATAATATTTATTTGTTAAATTACCATTAGTATTATTTTGAATAAATTCATTCATCAAATTTATGACCTTGTAAGTGTGAAATATTTCTAAAAAATAAGCACAAATTTTTTGATTTATTTGAAAAAAGGATAACACTAATCTTCGGGGGGATAAAATAAATGAGATGAAATATTTTATGCCATTGAGAAAGAAGAAGAAGAAGAAGAAGAAGAAACATTAATGTGCAGAATAATTTTTTTCTAACTATTGTAGTTTTTTCACAATAACTTGTATGCTTATTTATAAGACATTATTATAAATCAAGTCAAAGCTGGTTTGACCCTATCAGGTAGACTGGCAAAAGTCCTTCACTCAGGCCATTTGCATTATTATATTATACATACATCGTCGTACAATACCCTTCAGAAGTTGACGATATAACCTTGATATCCCTTTCATCAGTTTCACTACACAGAATCTGGGTCGCCAAAATTTCGACGCACTTCTTGGAATAATAGGGATCTTATTGATCCTTTTTTTTTTTTTCATATTTAATGTGGGTCCGTGACATCGTCTCACTCGACTGTGTCAAGCGTTATTTACAATACAATACATCATTTTTACATTTCTACTAAAAATATTATTTACTTTTAAAGTTTAAACGATACAATAAAAGAAAAATTAAAATTATTGAAGTAAAAATTATCATTTATTCAAATTCAAAGTTTAAAACGATGAAAAAAAAAATCATTCTATATTTTTTCTTTATTAAATAATATTAAAAATTTCAAATAATTATTTGTCTAAGTACATATTATTCTCCATGTGATTTTAATTTAAAATAAATACCGTGAAATCTAGAGAATTTACGCAGGAGATAAGTACACTGATTGAGAAAAAAAAAAAAAAAAAAAAAAAAAAAAACTAATGGAATAATTGGTACAACTTCCTGTTAGTTTCTTCATCCGGTCGGGAGTAATAGTAAATTCTCATCAACAGATTTAAAATCAAAAATAAAACTGGCCTCGGCCCTAAACATGTTACATGGCTTTGGCTTTGCCAATGTACATCTATTTATAGAAAACGAAATTTTTTACATTTGTGGTTGATGTAGAGTAAACCATGTTCGTATTTTTTCTATAATATTATAATCATCCTAATTTATCTACTTAATATGAAGTATTTTTACTATCATTTGATTAATATTCGCGATTATTTATATTTATTTCAATAGACTTCATTCATAAGACATAATCGAGAGTATTAGCATATATTTATAGAGATAACTTTCATAAATGTACATTTAATAATCGTGTTTAAACGGTCAATTAAATTCAATAATTTATATTTTATAACTATTAATATAAATGGCATTAATCCAATAGACACTTGAGACATTCTAATGGTGTCTATTTGTCGTTAATTCACTTTGCGTCATTAATAACCAGAAAAAAATTAATATTTTTGTTTGTAAACAAGTTATACCTTTCAATAACACTAAATACTTGCTTAATTCAATAAAAATATTTTTTATAAACCTATGAGTACTCAAAAAATTATTTTTTATGATCTACATTAACTAATTGAGTTTTTACGTTGCTAAAGTATTAAAAAGTATTAAAAAGTAACGCTTAATTAGCAAAAGAATACTAATCAGAATCAGGTATTTAGATTTACTTGTGAAAACAATTGACTTTTATATGTTAGTTCTTTAAAAACTGAATAATTATCTCTAATTAATAATTATATTAAAAATAGTTGTAAATAATTATTTTCAGATCGATTAACATGTCGGCAAGTATTAAACATAATGGTGATACTCGGGTTTATGCTCAATTATATGTTAAGAGTAAATCTAACGATTGCAATAGTTGCAATGGTAATTCCAAGTAACACATCACATTCCAATACATCTTTTGTTAACCATGAGTGTTCGGGAGCTTTACTTTTTACGGTCGTTAATAATTCTACAATTAACACTAGAGAAGATATAGATAATACAAATAATACGACGCATGAAACGGAGAGGGTAAGAAATTTCATTCATTTAATTCAAAGTTATGTTAATTACTTAAAAAAAAATTGATATTTATTAATTTATTATAGGTACCCGATGAAAGACCACAAACGAGGTATGCTTGGGATGAATATGAAGTGAATTTTATTTTGGGTGCATTTTTTTGGGGATATATATGTACTGAATTACCAGGAGGGCGTCTGGCTGAAGTTATTGGTGCTAAAAGAGTTTTTGGATACTCAATGCTTATTTCAAGTCTGGTCACTCTACTTACTCCAATTTCTGCATCATTTGGGTATCAATTTGTTGCTGGTCTCAGAGTTATTTTGGGCTTTATGTTGGTATGATTATTACTATGCAACAATTTTTTTGTATTTTTCATTTTTTTTTTTTAATGTATATAAAGGTGAAACTGAGCTTTGTAAAAAATATCTGAGCTAGAACTGTCTGCAGAGTAGGTATCTATATTATCTAGAGCATCTATATTATTTGATATGTATGGCTAGAGATCATTTTTTTTATTCATCTACTCATAGTATATTTTATGTTATCATTAGGGCGCCGGATGTAATACCGCTAATGTAATTTATTTCAGCTATTTATAGTTTGTTGCGTAATTTTATATTATTTTATTTATAAGTATTTTTTTAAAAAAAAAAAAAAAAAAAAAAAATCATTTTATTTTATTTTATTAACAAAAATCAGAATAGAGTGAGATTATTGGAGTACTAAAATAATTAGGGGAGGTATTACCTCAAGTTGAATCTGTATTAAAAGATAAACGCTTAAAAAAATTTTTACCCTAATAATTTTTGAGATGTTCAAGCTCAAAAATATATTTTTACTCTTCATTTATCATTTTTTTTTTAGTGTCTATTCGTGGAATTTTTTTCATAATAACTTATTTGTCAGATGTTGGTTAATTTCAGTATCTTATTTATATTTAGTAAGAGTAAAATCATTTATCAACGCTAGATTACTTTCGAAAACAAATCGAATCAAGTCTTAATGTTTTTAAACGAAAAAAAAAAAAAAAAACGTAGTTATTCCTTCTATCAATTGTTAGAAATTGTTATTTGTGTCAAGACGATCGATATATATGTACCAAAATAGATAATCATCGAGCTAAAAATAGTTTTTGTTAGTTTAATTACGCACGGTAGACGAATTAATCGATTTTATACCACTTTTTGAGATAATTTATCCACTCTATTTCAAATAACGATAAGTTTTATAATTTTAACATATTTAAGCTAAAAATTTCCGTGTAACATGCATTGTAACAATTTATTTAAACATTTTTGTGCTACCCTATTTTTTTTGTTTTTAATTTTTCAATGTTTAAATATTAAGATGTGTCATATGATAAAAAAAAAAAAAAAAATTACAAATGCTTTTAAGTAATGGTGGGTTCACTCAACTTAATTGATGAATAAAAAGGAAAATTAAAAAGTGAAAAATTGTTTTAGGGTGCAACTTGGCCAGCAATACACCCAATGACATCCCTTTGGATTCCACCATCAGAACGAAGCAAGTTCATCTCAAATATGATGGGTTAGTTGGAAGATAATGAACAATAATTATCCGTCATCAATGCCCATCACACTCATACACTGTATCGTTGACCCATCACTCTGATTGGTGGAAAATACTATAACGAGCCACAAGATCAGTGTAATTTAGATCAATCAAATAGAATTTTAAATATGGGTGTAATATTTTTAAGTACCACATAGATCAATTGAACCACAACTTACTAAATAGTAATATTCATATTTTCTTCTTTTTTTTTTTTTTTCTGTTGATAATTTTTTAGCTTCCTCACTTGGTGCTGCAATTACTATGCCGATTTGTGGCTTTCTAATAGCATCTGTTGGCTGGGAATCTGTTTTCTATCTGACCGGTGGAATAAGCATAATCTGGAGCATCGCCTGGTTTACTCTTGTCTATGATTCTCCAGCAAAACATCCTAGAATTAGTAATGAAGAGAGAAGATTTATTGAAGAATCCATTGGTACAACATCTTCAAAGAAGGTACACCACTTGCCATTATTATTTATTTATCTTTAATCATAATCATGATCATGACCATCACAGTGTAAGTTACTAATCATTAATAAATGATTCATCAAGCACTATAGACTTTATTGCATAATTTTACAAGATAAGTTATTTTATTTTATTTTATTTTTATTCAGGTACATGCTGTTCCTTGGAGGTCTATTTTCACATCACTCCCTGTCTGGGCAATTATTATTACTCATGGTTGCAGTGTCTTTGGATACTTTACTGTTGTAAATCAGCTTCCAACATATTTTAAATATATTTTAGACTTTAATATTAAAAAGGTAGATATTAAAAGTTAGAAGAAAGAATAAAAAAATAAAAATAATTATTATTTATTTTCTTCTTCTTCTTCTTCTCAGAATGGACTTTTATCATCATTGCCTTACATAGGAAAATATGTGTTTGCCCTGGCAACATCAACACTAGCAGACTATCTACGTCGTACAGGAAAACTTTCAATCACTACCATCCGCAAAACATTTACAACATTCGGTAAGTAATTTCATTGAACAATCATTTGTCCTTAGTTTTATTGATTACTTCTCTCAACGTGACTCAAATGTCTCCAGTAAAATTTATTTATTCAGTTAAAATAATCAGAAACTGTTCTCGATTCACGTGTTGAATAAATTATTAAAGGATTTATTACCGAGTTGGATTAACAATTGACAATATAAAATAAATGTGGGTTACTAATTGAATTATTCATAGCAACTTATTAACTATATTTTCAGCTGTACTGGTACCAGGATTATTAATGATACTTCAAGCTAATTTCGGCTGTGATCGAGTGATATCTGTTGCAATATTTACAATAGCATTAACAATAAACGGTGCCGTGACCGCTGGGTATCTTGGCAATGGACTTGATATTGCTCCTAATTTCTCTGGTACTATTTTCGGATTAGCTAACACACTCAGTTCACTTGGTGGATACCTAAGTAGTTTTATGGTTGGTAAATTGACTTATCAAAACCAAACATACCATCAATGGTCTATTGTTTTTTGGATTTTATCTGTTACTTATATTACTGGTGCAATAACTTTCGCTATTTTTGGTTCTGGTGAATTGCAAAAGTGGAATAGTCCTGATAGTAGTGTAACAGTGAAAAAAGTTGATACCAATGATGCTAAAACTAACGACGAAGTTATATCTTTAAATGATAAATGATTATCAGAGACTGACTCAATCATTTTCTTTAAAATGCCATTTTTTTAAATCATTTTTTTTTTTTTTCTCCATTTACAAATGTAAATACACATTTAATCATAATTTGATGATTTAAAATTTATGTAAAAAATGACAATGAATTATAAATAAATGAATTTAATTAAAAAAAAAAAAAAAAAAAAAAAAAAAACC